GTATCAAAGGGGCTACAAGCTAATCAGGATCGGATCTCAATCTTTCGTACTATTTTCTTAACTATGGTAGAAAGGACGATCCTTTTTGCTGCTTTGGCTGGAGATAAGCCAGCTGTGGGTGCTGGGGACAGCTAGGAGTAGCTTCTCAGTAGCCTCCCCTTAGTACGCTCCACGGGATGTATGGGCACGATATGGACTGAAACTTAACTATCTACAAACTCTCCCCATGAATGGAACATCCATGGGCCACTCAGCATCGACTACTAGTGGAACACAATGCAAGATGGGGGATCTCAACTGTGGGGGACTTGCACATGGTTGTTTGGTTGCTGGACCAAAGGTAGGCGCAAAGGGATTGCGTGCTCATCAGCATGGGCCGACTCGGTAGGTGTCGGCGGTGCTGGTGTTGCTATCATAGCTGTTGTTTGTTTTCTTCATATGTAACAAATATTCGTGGCTTTGCCACAGGCCGAATTCAGCGGTGGCAAGCTCTCAGTGGAGCGGCCTTCTTGCCCGCAATCATGTCCCTTGACGGATGGGATGGATGGGCTGTACCAGACAGGGACGTAGTCTAGTTGCCCGTTCCGAAAATCCAGGGACGGTGCTAGCAGCACGGACTGGAGGATCCAATCCTGTGGGCCATCATGGAAGCAAACACATGATGGAACCACATGCCAAACACTTGAGGACTCCCATTGCCTTGGAGACATGGAGACTGAGACCATGGTGGTTCGAACCTTGGACTCATCCTGTGGTGTGACATTGTTGCTGCTGTCAGACAGTGGTGGTGGTTGTCGACAAAGGGATGGTCGACTGGGTGGCATTGCTGCCATAGGGATCCTCTCATTTGGCACAAGCCTAGTTGGCACTGGGAGTACCAAAGAGAGGTGGTCCGGGATGGACCAAGCTGGGGATCTTGCTTTGGTGTCGTTCGACGTGGTGGACACTTGGATCTCCAGCCAAGGTTGATTGTTGCACCTGCCCTGGAAGCTGTCTGCTTGAAAGCATCTGCTTTGGGTGTGCACTTGCTTCAAAGGGATCCTCTCGTTTGGCACGAGCCTGGCGGCACTGGGAGTACCAAAGAGAGGTGGCTCTGCTAGAACCGCGTTGGTTGCTTGTGTGTCGCCTTGATGGGCAAACCGTGGGGCATCCAACATGAGTTTGGTTGTCGTGGGTCTACCAAGGACGTGCGGTCCTGCTTGGGAGGGACAGCCGTTGTGTTGATTACATGCGGGATTTCCTGGGATGGTGGAATCATACCAGCTAGAATCGTGGTTGCTGTTGGCTACAGTACTAGCCTCCCCATAAGCCAATGTAGAAGCTGGGTGACTACTGGAGCTGAAGGTAGGCAGCTCTGTGTAATCTCCCCATCACCCAGTGATGCAGTGGGAGCACCAGCTAGGGCAGATGGTTGCACGGGAGCAACCAAGGGAGTGGCATTGGGCAGCTGGTTTGTGGGTCCGCTGTGACTCGCAAAGGACGAGTGGCTGGCGACTCCCCACAAGCTGGCTTGGAAGATGACTGGTGGTTGGTTGTGGCACCGACCAAAGGGCGAGTAACACTAGTGCCAAACAACTCCCCACAATCGTGCTTGAGAGATGTGTGGTGCCAGTTGTGCCTCCTGGTCCTGGAGGCGGCTGCTTTCTGCCTGAGGACAGCTGCTTTTCCGTTGATCTTCTCGAGGTTTCGACTAAGGGACTTGTCAAGCAGCTGACGAATGCACCACTGTCGCTCTTCAATGAGACTATCAAGGGTAGTGTCAAGGGCTTGGATAGAGGTGTGCTGCGCATCCAGACTCTTCATGATGGCCCGAATCGTATCCTCCCGGGTTGTAGGGGAAGTGTAGCTAGTTGTTCTTGGGCTAGCCTGTTTCCTTGGTTCTCTAGCCTTCGAGGCCTTCCGTGATGGTGTAGGAGTCACTGTAGGTATGTAGAGTGACATGGTTGCTTGCTTTCTGCCAAGGAAGGGGCTAGGCTGTACTTGGTGGAAACCTGGATCTCAGCTCTTGTTGCAGTGCAATAAAGCTTGACTCAACTGTAATCTGGAAACCACAAAGATGACTTCTTGGGACCTTGCTAGGGGCCTGGGAAAATCAATCTAAGTGTACTTGAATAAGGTAGCCTGTGTAGAGGGTCTGGAGCCTGCTTCCTGTGTTGCCGTGGTGCTGGGAACTGACTTGGTTTGTGGGTATTTTGCCACTGAGGAGCCAGGCAACTTTGGGCCAATGAATCTCCCGCACAAGTTGCCAGTACTGAAGGTGAGATACCCACTGACTAAACAAGGTATGGCGGATTCAATGGTAACAGTTTCAGCCAAGCGAATGACTCTTGTTGTCTCGAGGCTCTGCGAGTTGGTCTCTTTGCGCAATGGATAGCTTGGTGGCTCCGGTCCCGGGTTTTCACGATTTTCAATGACTCGACGGTGTAAATCCTTTAAAATGTGAGCGTGAATCCAGTTTACGAAACTGGGCCTGCTTTCGGATCGAGAACGTGTCGAGGAAGACGAGCTTGCGTATAAGTCTCCGAGGATACCAAGATCCAGGATCGAAAAAGAACCTTTGACGTTCTGCTCGCTGACTCAGTGCACGAGCGATAAATACAGGAAACTGCACGGACGTTTTGATTGGCTGAGCGACTTGTCGAAAGAACGTTCTGGAACCCTTGTACGGTCCGTGAAATCGCTGATACAGTATAGGATGGAAACTCGTGACACTCGAAAACTGCACGGAGGTTTTGAAACGTTCCGTGGAATCCCTCAAGAGATAAGCCCGTGCGCAAAGAGATATCGTGGGTTGCCCTTGATAAGCAGCGAAGTTCCTCAAGACGTAAAAGGCTTGCTCGATTGCCAAGATAGGTGCAAATAATAAGTCTCGTGTTCTCTCGGGACTCCAGAGTGTCCGTTAGGACCAGTGCTTCTTCTTTCGAGTGAATTGGCTGATTTTCCTCTCTTTCGTGGTACGTATCGGCAACTCCAATGCAATGGCGTTGTTGATGAGGTTGTTGGAATATAGGTCCTTTCGAGGCAATGGGTGTGTCGTCTTGTAGTTGGATTGGTGGGTAGTCAACTCAAAGGTTCCTGATGCTCTGGTGGAGGCTAGAGCTGTCAGGAATGATCAGAAGGCTGTTGACTAAGGAGTTCAAAGTGAGCTTGAAATCCTGCAAGAAATCCAATGAACCAACTGTAGTGTAGCACTGATTGTTGTAATGCGGAGAGCTCCTTGTCAGCCTGGAGAGTCTCCTTCCCTTAAAAAACTGCCTGAATTCTATGCGACTGTTAATCCAATAAGTTTCTGGAAGGTTCAGTTCCAATACCGAAGTAGTGGACTGGACCTCGCTGAAACCCTTCCTCAGGACAGCGGTAGTCAGGCAGTTCAGGGAGCCTTGTCGTGCCTCAGGAGTGTTCCAACACCTCCAGTAGGCACCAAACCAAGGACTTGTCCTGTCAGTCAGACAGGAGGGCCAGCAGAGCTCTCTGCTGGACCCTTTGGCCAGCTCTCCTCAGGAGCTGGGGGCCTTCGTTATTCAATCGTGCAGTGCAGTCTGGGAACAGTACTATCTGCTACCTCCTACTGCTTCTGCCCGCCTCAACAGGATTGGTATCAACTGCTGCGGTATCAAAGGGCTACAAGCTAATCAGGATCGGTCTCAATCTTTCGTACTATTTTCTTAACTATGGTAGAAAGGACGATCTTTCTTGCTGCTTTGGCTGGAGATAAGCCAGCTGTGTGGTGGAGCGTAGGCCAGCATAGCTGTTGGAGCTATCTCTGACGGGATCCAGAGCTCTTGCTCCTAAAAGTTATCGTCTGTGATCATTTAGGCTTATCAGTTTCAGCTCAGTCAACATTCTTAGAGCATTAACCCCATTAAAAAAATCCCTAATGCCTTATTTCAAAATAAACTATGAGCGTGAACTAGAATGGATTGACAATGGCGCCGATCTATTCACTTTCATCATAGTAGTTTTTGAAAAAGAAACCGAATTTGGATACATTACTTACATCTACAGCAACAGTAAACAGAAGAGCACCATAATAAAGAAGTACGATGTGACTGGACATTCAACTCTTAGCAACCTATCCCAATTTGATGTGAAAATCGAAACCAGCATGACACATATAAAGGAAGGAATGAAGCTCATAGGTGCTAATGCGTTAAGAGCGTTCCTAGAAACTAACTCCCATTGCCCCCTTACATGCATGCATCTAGCCCGAGTATCCAGATGTCTTCCCGTGACACCTTTCAACTGACGTCATTCCGAGTATCCGGAAGTTTTTCCATGACACCCTTCAACTGACGTCATTCCGAATGACAGACAGTTGTTTTCACCGGTACGCATGTTGAAGCGCGGTACCGGAATTTAGCTAGAAGATTCACTATCGGTATAAAAAGATTAAAAAAAAATACGAATAAGAACATGAACAACGTCATCGTTTCACCGGTACGCATGTTGAAGCGCGAAGCATCATACACGAATCATATCCGCGCCAAGTTAGAAGCGCGCCAATTTGGTAACTAGTCAGTTAGGAGTTAACTTCCCGGGGAATACTGGCGGGATGGTTCAGTTGGTTAGAGGAGGTATGGACCACTCTTTCTCGCTCCAGGTTCGATTCCTGGTGTCGGTACCTGCCTGTGAGGGTGGGTAGGGTCTTCCTGCTGGTAAGTTTGCAGGTTTTGCTCGAACCGGTGCCAGGTGTGATTATGAAGGTAATATCTCGTGTTACAGTTGTTGCTGGGATGCTGAAGAGCTTTGGATCTGGGGCTTACGAACGATTAATTAGTAACTTAACCCTCGGGACAAATGGAATTACGAAGGTTGTGCTTCGTGTTACAAAGTACCGAGTCTGTGCGTTGGCTTTAGAAAGTCTCTGTTATGGAAAATATCTCGTGGTTATCATACGGCACTTAATGTATCTGGGGGCTACTTCACGGGGTAGCGTATCCTTAACAAGCAAGGTTAGGCATAATAAATATCAAGATCTCTGATCTTTTAAACTTTGAGTGCTCAGTGGGAGTATGATACCGGTACAACTGAAGCAGCAACCAAACCAACTTAAAAACTACCATCGTACGGCACAAGGTAGTCTACGTTCAGTATGTGGAGAGGATTTAAAAGAGAGATTTCCAGGATCCCCCTCCTTGCTGGGTCTGCTGTTGCGGTGGGGGGTGTGGTTGCAGCAGAGCATGGCTACAGTGATGTCAATGGAGTAGCAGACACCTACATTGCTGTCATGCTAGCCGCTAGGAACTTGGAGGACACTAAAGATCAACATCTCAAGCCCTGGATGCAACGCCAGCTTACCGCACTGGATCGACGCCTGCAGTGGAGTTTGAAGAAACATGAGCAACTGCACAAGTGGATCATTCCTTCTTCTGACAACTTGGGCTGGACCGTGTATCGCTTGGAATGGATGGCAGCCAATCTGTGAGGCTTGGCCTATCACCTGGATTCAACTTTTAGCCGTCAAGAGGGCGACGAGAAGAAGACGAGGGACTCGTTCGACAAGGAGAGTCAGGTTCTGTATGACACAAAAGTGGATGAAAATTACTTGGATCCGGCCCACACAACCAGAGTCCATGCTCAATTGGACGCTCTGTTACCTGGAAATTGTGAAGAACCACTGCACCAACGGCATGCCCAATTTCAATCTCACATCATGATTCCCAAGAAATCATATGAACCTGTCTATCGTCAATTGGTGGACGATATTCTGGAGACCTGCCAAGCTTGGATGCCGGAACTCCAATCTGCCCACCTGAAGCAGCAGTATATGGATGACGCCAAAGTCTCCTGCGAAGCCTGGGTTGAGCCGGATCGGGATGCTGCAGCAGGAGACTCCAAGATGGTGGTCAACATTGCCAGAGCGATATCTTACGACAAAGCTCAGCAATTGGCGGTTCATGAATTGACGCATCATATCCAGGTTGTGCTAATGGAACATCACCTGTACGACAAGTGCCCTGAAATGAGAGTATCTCCAGAGATGGGACCCATGGGAGTTGTCCTGGAAGGAGGCGCGGAAGCCATGGTGGAGTTGTACTTCAATCTGGACGCTGGCGGAGTGGTCAGTCGAGCCCAAGATCTAGAAAAGAGACTGCCTCGTCACGGTCTTCGGAGACTGAACCTGACCCCTGCAATCATCTTGGAGATTGAACGCCTCACTTGGTTTGGACTCTGGCCTACGATTATTCGAATTGCTCGTGACTATCAGAATCGCTCGATCATCCACAATAAGGACGAATGCGAACGGCTAATGCTGGAGCAAGCCCTCAAACGGCACGATTCTTGGCCCAACGCCGACTTTTTCGACGAAGTTGGCGCTTATACGTTGGGATATGGGTATTGCAAAGAACTGATTCTTGAGTATTGCAAAAAGGAGGCCATGAGGAATGATAGATCGGTCTTGGAGGAGTTCATTCGCTTCATGAAGCAGCCACAGCTGCCCAGTCGAATGCAAAAGACAATTGCTGGTTAAGGGAAGCACGCAGAGACCAATGTAGTAATATGTATTTATTACAAGGATGGATTTTGACTAATAGACACGTTTGTTCTTTGTTTATCGCATAGGAATGAGTAACTTTGACCACTTGGTTGACTTTCGTTCTCAAAGGAGGTTACGTTGAGCCCTGCATGGCACCATGCGTCAAAGATACTTCTTCAAATGCATTCTTCGCCACCGTCATCAGGTACTTCTTGGATGTCTGGTTGAACGCCATGACAGTGCACAAGTTCTCCATAGGAGCCCTGGTCATGAAGGCGTCACATCACATCGGTACAATAACCAATGTTGGCGACAATCTCCCCGAACAAACAATTAACGAGAGGCGCGAACCGAATAAAGAAGAAGATCAGCCACATTCCTCTCCCTCGCCTATCTACCACCTAGCTAGGTAGGTTCATCTCGCCCTCATGATTCAATCCAGAGACTGGTTGTCAACCAAAACGCATTTGCACACTGCATCCCAGCTCCTACTAGCCCTAGTACATTTCTCATATATCATAGTGATTATTATTCAAGAGGCAGTCCAGCCATTGCGTGTGAACATAAGTTTCCACAGCTACAAAGCCCCACGATGCTCAGCTGAAGTACAGAATGCTCTAATCACCCCAACCAAAGAGCAAGAAACCGTTTCTTGCGTCTGTGTCATTCGTTCCCAGCCATTGCTCCAGTTCTTAGATGAAGGAACCCAATCCAGATGTGTCTCCCTCGTCGATCTTGAAGGAAAAATCTGGAACGTCCTTCATGGTGAATCTCTTCTTCTTGAAAGCTTCCAACTCTTCCTCTTCAGCCTGTTTCTTCGCTTCCAGTTCCTCTCGGGCCTTGATAACAAGAATTCTATGCCTATCACCCTCGTCTTGTTCCATTTCCTTGCTAGAATAGAGGACTCTGCCACGCACTGGCCTACCCAAGCCAACTGAACGTACTGGTAGATTGGTCTCGTGGCTGATAAGGGCCACTTTGGCTTCTTCGATATTGGGTTCTTCCTGAGGGGTGCCCCCTCCCACCAAATGCCACCATAACAATACAACAGATATGGCCAAGATAATGAACCCCGCCACAACCGTGATACTCGAGTTGAAACTCATGATGCTGCTCTTTTTGTAAAATAATGACTCGACTCTTCACTCTTCAATCAACACACTGGTAATAACAGGCCAAAAGCATTCCAATGGATTGCCGATGAAAGTGTCTGTTGGTACCGTTGCGGTTCCGGAACGGTTGCAAGAAGCGAGGCATACGGTACGGTACAGTAGTACCGTTGAGTGACGTCACCCATTGCTATTGGGTTAGAATCTTGGACCAATCATCATGGGCATCCACGAGCTGCAAACAATTTTTAGTGGCAACTATGGTGGCGACGATGCGATGCATCATCTATGCCTTCTACCTGGTACCGTCCATAGACTGGTACCGTCCATAGAGTCTATGGACGGTACCAGTACTACACTTTGAAGGTTTGAACTCATGCAGCAGTTTGGAAGTGAAGATGCAAGCGCCGTGGATAGCCCCGTAGCTTGTTCTTTGGATATATTTGAGGGGTGGGTGGTACTAATTTCGTTGTACTTTCTGGCAGGGTTGAATTCTTCACTAATTTGTTTCTATACTACAAAAGAATATCTGAGCCACAGCTCTCTGGACATCCATTTTCTTTGGCCCAATTCAAAACCTCCAAATGACCGTGAAGTGCAGCATTGGAACACGTCTTGGCATCCCAAGGACAGCCATTTTCTCTGGCCCACTTGAGAACCTGCAAGTGTCCACCAGCTGCAGCATGACTGCATGTTCTTCCATCCCATGGACAGGCATTCGCCCTAGCCCACTTCAACAAATCCAATCGGCCATCTCCAGCAGCATAAGTGCACGTCCTGCGGTCCCAAGGGCAGCCATTAGCTCGAGCCCACTTTAATGTTTCCAGCTGTCCACCCTCAGCAGCATAAGAACATGTCCAAACATCCCACGGGCATCCCTTTTCTCTTGCCCATTTCAACAATTCCAAATGGCCACCTTCAGCCGCACGGCAGCACACTGACTTATCCCATGGACAGCCATTTTCATGTGCAAATTTCAATACTTCCAAATGTCCACCTCCAGCTGCCTCTGCACATGTTCCTGCATCCCATGGGCAGTTGTTCTTGAGCAACCATTCCAAAATATTCAAATGCCCTTGTTGGGCAGCACGAGAACACGTCCATTCATCCCATGGGCAGCCATTGTTTCTAGCCCATTTCAAAGTCTCCAAATGCCCACTTCTTGCAGCCTGTGCACATGTCCATTCATCCCATGGACATCCATTCTCTCTGACCCATTGCAATGTCTTCAAGTGCCCGCCTCTGGCAGCTGCAGTACATGTCCATTCGTCCCATGGACAACCATTTCTGTGTGCATATTTGATGACGTCCAAATGGCCACCTGCAGCAGCATCGGTGCAAGTATCTGTATTCCATAGGCACCCATTTTCTCTGGCCCATTTCAGCAAATGTAAATGACCATGTTGAGCAGCATTGGAACAGGTAGTTTCATTCCAAGGGCAACCGTGTTTCCGTGCATATTTTAGGACATTGAGATTTCCGCCGCTTGCTGCCCCAGCACATGTCCATTCATTCCAAGGGCAGTCGCTTTCATGTGCGTACTTTAGGACTTCCAAATGACCTCCTGCAGCAGCAGCAGAACATGTTGTTCTATCCCAATGACAGCCATTTTCGTGGGCATACCTCAGGACATCCAAATGTCCTCCCAGAGCAGCAGCAGCACAGGTCCTTTCATCCCATAGAAATCCTTTCTCACGGGCCCACTGGAGAACTCGAAGGTTCCCAACTCTTGCAATCCATTGGCAGACATTCTTGTTGTGTAGCAGTTGATGATTGGAAGCATTGGCATTGTACCAGAATTCGGCGCATTCGACGCTGGAGAAAATGTTTCTGTAGAATGTAGCTTTGCTGGTTGCTGGGATCTTTTCCTCGTGATCCAAAACCTTCGGGGGATTCTGCACGGTGCTGCAGTATGACTCATACAGGTCCTTTACTTTGCGGTTCACAGGGGCAAGGTAGGCAAACTGACCCATGCCGACAAAAGGGAGAATGCCGCCCACCCAAACATCATCCTTATCAAGCACCTTCTGGGTAGCTTCTTTCGGTGCTGTTTTGGTCTTCATGGTAGTCTTTTTGTGGCAAACTTATGCTTGTGGTCCGATCGATGTTGTGGCTCTGCTGTTTCTATGAATGGCAGCGTCGTCCAAGCAAGTCAGTTTGATTGCCAGCATTGTCATTTTCTTCCAAAAAGAATTTGGGAGGAACCAACTGCCACTGTCGTCATTCGTGTGCGTTGTCGGAAGCAACTGCAGAAGTTCCGAACCTTCTACCTGCGCAAATACATCTTTGATGGCTTAAAAGCTGGTTGAACCGGTACTCTCAGATCTTCTTCTGACCTCAGGCGCCACAAACATCCCTTGACACCAACTCCAAAGGCCACGGGAAGTGCAACATGCATCCAAGCAATTAATGGGCAGAAAGCTGTCAAGTTGTGTCCTTGGCTTGGCTTCAATACAACCTCTAAACTTCGTCCCCATCATCAGTTCTTGAATCTTTTGTTGGAATTGATCCGCCCATCAAGATGGTCAAGCAAAATACCCACAAAAGCCTGCTCTTGTTGGCACTTCTGGCACTGTCCCACCTCGAAATCGTGGCTGCCTTTGTTCCACAGCCATTGGTTGCATCTCAAACCAAACAACAATTCATCCCTACAGTTGCCTTCCTGGAGACCAAGGAAAAAGAAGGAACAGAGGAGGCGGTAGAGGGCGAAGCATCCGGTTTTGGTGAAGATCCCACACCTGATGACCAAGACAATAATAAGCCCCTGATTCCTGAAAATTCTCTCGTCATTGCAGCAGCGGCCATTGGTACCCTTGCTGTGGCCTCGCATGCTGGAGACTATGCTTCCTTCTTCTCATCACTGTCGGATATGAAGGCCAATGTGGCTGATCCAGCCGATTTCGGGCCTGCCCTCAACTTTTGGATTTTCTTCGCCGTGGCACATGCCATCTTGCAACCCATTTTTTGGATCAGTGAAGTCCTGCATGCTAGTCCTGGACCCATGGTGGGAAACTTGGTTCCCATTACCTTCATCTTGGGAAATGTTGCGGCCATTGCTGCCTTTACTTTGTCAAAAGAGGTAAGCACGGCTGTTTGAAAGAAGAGTTTCAGTCATCTTTTTGATTATTGCGCCCTGGCTAGAGTTTCTCATCTTTGCTTTCATTCACTTTTGTTTTTCAGATTCGAAATGCCTTGAATGTAGCAGCTCTGACTGCATTCATTGCCTATGTAGGATCAGGCCTTGCAGGTAGTGCTGGATTGGGGGATTTCAATCTTGGTTTGGACGACAGTTTTCAAGGCCAAGTTGTCAAGGGATGTCCGGCATATGAAGAGGTCAGACAACCAAGCATGGACAACTTTGATATTCAAAAATACGAAGGCAAGTGGTACGAACACAAGTTTCATGATTGGACACAGTTCAAGGAAGTCTACGATACAACTCTTGACATCAAGGTACGAGGGAGAGCGACAAAAGGTTATACATTCTTGTACCAGTTTGGCACCTACATGTGTAGAAAACAACACTCATCATCTGTTCGATTGTGATGGATTGAATCTAGCTCACGCAAGGCGGAAAGGCTTGGATCGATGATTTTGGAGTTCGGGGGCCTGCTCCTGCCACAGGTCCGCTTTCTTGGGACAAGAGCCCCGTGGCAAACGGTGCTCACTACTTCCTATTCGGTCGTGTTGACCCCAATGATCCTCCTGGCATTCTCCGTGAAAAGGGATTCGGAGTAGAGTTTCCAAACTACATTGTGGACATCAAAAAGGACCCTGATACAGGAGCATACAAGGAAGCAATTCAGTTCCAGTGCCTGGAAAGAGGTAAGCCATCGTGAGATCAAATTTCTATTCAAGCAGCGTTGAAGGAACAAATCGGGCTCAGACTCTTGCTTCAATAATATGTTGTGCTTGCCAGGTGGGGTACGTGTCTTTGAAGGCATCAACTTTATGTCTCGTAGTCCAACCATGACCGACGATGAGTTGATGGCCATGCACGCAAGAGCTGAGAAGGCTGGAATGTACCCATATGGAGCCAGCCCAGAACAAATGCACAGAGTAGAACGGTATCCCGAAGGAGCACCCCCAGTTGACAACAATTGGCAGCAGATGTGGCACGCCATTGGCTTTGATAAGCTCTTGGAACTGCTCACGGAAGCTATCGAAGACGGCGGTCGCTAAATGCCTTAATCTAGTTGAAAGTCTATTGTGATCGTCACTTGAATGTCAGCTATTTATTCCCATGGCTGTTGACCTGTCAAGATGACTAAATTTTGTCGTGAAAGCCTTTGCAAAAAAGGGCTTCAGGCAAGCATGTGGTCTCCTGTGGTGACCTCTCTTCATCTCGGAAGCGCTTTGTAGCCTGCATATACATGCAAAGCAAACCGTCCAGTCCATGCAAATTGAACCTTCAACCTTTGGTCCACTTCCGCTAGGCCGCACCACTTTTCTCCCGATACTCCCACAACTCAAACCTTAACTAGGGCCTGGGTCCATCCCATGATGTGATCTCAATTGGCTTTGTCGTTTCCCCCTCAAAAATGCCAGCCCACTTCTCTCCCAGAGCCGCTACAACGCTGGATGAATCTCGAACCACTGATTCTAGCCTGCGTCCATTTGCAGAGAAGTGGATCAAATCGACATCCTCCAAATCTCGAAGTGCAGCCTCAATGTCCACCTTGACCTGTTTGTCGCCTTTGATCAAGGCGTTCACCCCCGCTAGGCCATCCTGGACCAATTGATCTCGGTCGTTGCAAGCCCTTGACGTGACAACTCGCATGGGAGACCTCAACCAAGTGTACACAAGGGCAGCCCTCGTGGCACGATAGGATCCGGCCTCTGTCGTGACATACTTGACTGCGCCCGAATTTCGATGGGTGATTTTGGATGTCAAGAACTTTTTGACCAGTAGATCGTAGCGGGCCAGTTTATTGGAATACCGTATGACAGTGCGAAAGATCCACAAGGAGAATGATACCAGAGCGAGTAGATCCAGCCGCGGATTGTCGAATCGTTGCGAACTAATGACAAGAAGCAAGGACACAATGGATACGGCATCAAAGACGAATGCATCTGCCGGTCGGAACACGAGCTTGGTTTTGGGCAAGACTGCCGGTAGATTGGCCATGGGGACGCTGGCGAACGCCCGAATTTCCATGGGAGGTTGTTCTATGGGTGTTTCTTTTGCACATGGCAACTCTGGCAGTCCTTTCAAGTCAAACATATCGGCCACGTCATAGGCAAATTTGGGTGGCGTAAAGACCGGCTTTGCTGGTTTCGGAGGTAGCGGACGCCACACAACAATTACCTGCGTGATGAAAGAAAAAGAGAGATTTGTGAGATTACGAATCATTATTCGTGTTGCCTTGGCTGCCGCCATGGACTCGTAGTAAGATAGATGAACAGACCTCTCGATAGGTTGGTTCCATGAGTTCATTTTTGGCAACGATTGTTTTCAACAAACTCTTTGGCCCCATGGTGGCAAAGTCAATCAAGTTGCTGATACTGACACGTTCCAAGAGTTGCATGGGAGGCAATCGTTGCTGTTGCTCTTCTTGCATGCTTATTTCTTCATCATACTGACATGTCAATTGTCCACAGTTCATGACATCGTACAGGTCATGTTCGGTTTGATTGACGCGACGAGTCGCATTTTTGTTGTTGTTGTTGTGATCTCCATAATCCACTTCGCAAATGGTAAAGGGCGTCAAGGCATCGACCGACGACGCAAAACTGGATCGGTATCCACCATAGCGTTGCAGCTTGAACACGCGTTCCTTGTTTTGTTGGGACGTTTCACGTTGTCGCTCTTTGGCACTGTCCGTCAGGAGTGTAGCCCATTTTGCAAGTCGTGGAATGTTCATTCCAATCAACAGATTGGAGAGTGTCGAAAGAATGGCTGTTTCGACGTTGTAGTACTTCTCTCTCGCATTGGTGGCAATGGTTTCTTCCCAGATATTGAGACGGACTCGTATTCCCGAAGCAGCTCGTTGCACAATACTGGCTTGCAGGTAATCGATTTTGGGTAGCAGTAGACGCCCTCGTGTGATTTCTTGTCCGTATCCACGCCAAAAGACGAGGACTCGTCCGTTGTAGAGGAATCTAGAGGTGGTGTTTGAAGATTGTAGTTCTTCTTCTTCTGGATAAAATTCTGTAGCAATGGATGGATCGAGCTCCTTCAAGTCTTCCAAAATGCTGAGTCGCAACAGATACTCGGCATTGAGTGCTTGACAGAGATCCAAATCTCGTCGGGTCAACAATTCAAAGCCAGCATCCTCGAGGGAGCTTCTTAGAATGGAAATCACCTTGGCTTCATCTTGTGGCGTGGTCGTCGGATAATCCGTTGACTTTTGGTCCATGAATTTAATAAATCTGGTTTGTTCATGAACTGTGGCATGATAAATGGCGTCTAGTTTGGCCAATATCTGAGGTGGTTGGTAGAGGGATGGGGGTAAGGCAGATTGTTGGGTAGGTATCTTTCCATCGGAGGAGGTGACAATCCGACACGAAAAGGCAATGGGATTATGTTTCTTCTTTTTCTTCTTCTTCTTGTCAGTATCAATGCTGTTGCCGTTGTTGGTTTCCTGAAAACCGTTGTTGGTCTGATTGTTGGTGTTGTTGTTCTTGACCAACACTTTGAATTTGGGTATCACGGTGTTGATGGATGGTGGGAAAATGGCATCGTCGACATCGCCATTGACTAGAATGTCTCGTATTCTCTCCCTGTTTTCTGCTTTTTCTTTCTCATTATTATTTCCATCTTCGTCACGGTTACCTTTGTCAAAAAAGTCATTGAAGGAATTCTTGCCATTTCGTAATGCTGATGCAACAGGAGTGAATGCATGATGCCGAACCGGGACAAAAGCCTCAATTGCCGTCAATGGTAGGATGAGCAACCACAGCAAAAACAAATTCGATATCCAACCGGAACATCGTCTTTCTGGTCCCCTACGTTTCCCTGAACAACTGTACACATAGTAGAACTGCCTCATATCAATGCATTACTAGTACTTTGGGTTTGTAGAGTCGGTTATGGATCCTGGCCGCAGTCTCCTGGTCTTCATTGCTTGGCGGAGAGTGATGGCGTGATGGTGTCAGCTGTGTGTCTCCGAAAGACAACCTCAACCCTAATGTCCCATGGGAGGATCTCAGGCTTTATGCTTTGGAGCTTCGCGTCCCGAAACCACCAACCAACCCCAACCACCACAGCCCCACCAGAAGAAACAAGTGGACGAGCTGATGGCGGATGATGATACCTCTACTTCCAAGAAGGACGATAGTTCCAACTTGAAAGACAACAACTTGAACGAGGAAGATAATGATGATGTATACTTTATGCGTCAAGCATTAAAGGTGGCCGAAGCAGCCTTGGCCATTGGCGAAGTTCCCGTGGGATGTGTCATTGTCTTATTGCCAAAAGACACCACTACTACTAGAGGTACCATTGTGTCTCACGGGGCCAATCAAGTCAATGCCACCCGAGATGCCAGTCGCCATGCCGAAGTTGTGGCCGTGGATCGCATGTTGACATTGGGGGCCTCGTCGGATCAATTGCGGCTCCCTCCCCACATTATGGCTCAATCCGCCACAACCCCAGAACAACAAAAGGCTCTGCAGGAAGAAAAGAATGCCATGGACGACGACGGTTGGGGATCTGGTCAAGTTTATCCCGTTTCCATTCTCTCTCAATGTCATCTCTATGTGACCTGCGAACCCTGCATCATGTGCAGTGCGGCCTTGGCAACGGTAGGAATTGGAAAGGTGATTTTTGGGTGTCGCAATGATCGATTTGGAGGATGTGGGTCCATTCTTTCCTTGCACACAGCAACCAGTGTGGATGATAAGGAAGATGGTTCTACAGACAAACCATTCCCGATTGTGGAAGGTGTCCTCAAAGACCAAGCCGTTCGGTTGTTGCGGTGCTTTTACGACCGAGAAAACTTTCATGCCCCAGATGATAAACGGAAACGAAAAAGCTAAGTACCACTGCATGTGGCTAGCTAGACTAGGAGTCTTGATATCTACATACGTACATGAGCTCAGCTACGGTAGCCAGCCATAGAATCATCTGTGAATGAAACTCGAGTGCAGACTGGTGTTACCGGTGCCAGTGCAAGCATGGTTTTGTCAACACTGCTCTGTCAGGCTGTCAGGGATGCAACCAGTGAATGCTCTCTGCCCTCCAAGCTTTGCTCGATACAATGACATGAATGGAAACCCGATGTTGTCTAGGACCGTTCCAGAAGAAGTTGCAACAATAATTGCAACTGTCTGTGTGCACAGTTTTTGAGATGCAGGCGTTACAGTACGAGGTCTGGCTGTTGATTGTTCAGATTCGATTCGATTCATTTGATTTGTCATCTTATGTGGTTGTCATTGCTCATGTGATGAGGAATGATCAATCAACTCACCCTAATTTTAAAAATGAATATGTATACAGTACTCGAGTATCTTCTTATCTTCTTTTCTGCTGGCTTGATTGGAAGCTTTTTGAGTTGGTTGTCATGTGCGGGGCTCGCCGATCGGGGTCGTTGTTGTCATCATTGCATCATTGGGGATTTTTGGGGGCCAACACTGCCAGCTTTGCAACAAGGAGGAGAGACTAGGAACTAGAAATACTAAGACAATATCCAGAATCACCACAAACAATGATCAACACCTGCAACAAAATCTTCGGCGCCTGTGGACACAATCAGACGTTTCATAAGTACATTTAATTTAGCCCAGCACTGACGAGTCGCAAAGGAGATGAAAGAGTCCTACCAAAACCAAAAGTTGCCATTTGTAAAATCCAGTCACTCTTTGCTACAGCAGTACGGTAAAGGTAGGGCACGGGTACGTCCAAGAGATGCACACGTTTGGCCATTCACGCTTGTGCACGGATCTTTGGATCTTCGGAGCTTCCCACCCCACACAAAAATCACAACTAGACAACAGCAAAAACCTTTTCAACCAAAAGATCCACATGCCCTCGTTGATAGAAACTCTTCACCAGGGCTATCTTAATGACGATCTCTACAGTCAAGCCCAAGAGATCTTGGTTCAACAAGCTGGCCCGAAGCCAGAACCGGAAACGCTGCAAGAAGCCCTCCAAATAGCGTCCAGCAAGGGCCGCTTCGACGTCGTTGAACTGATCGCTTCCTGTTACACGGACATTGATGATCCGTTGGAATCGGTACTTGGTTGGACGAAATTGTTCCAGCTTGTAATTTATGGTACTACGGAAGAGCTGGAAGTAGCGCTACAAGCAGCAAAAGAAAACCAAGACATTCTGGAGCAGACGGACACCTGCCACCGAACTCCCTTTCTGTGCTCTATTTTGGTGGGAGATAGGGACAAAGCCCAACGATTGCTCCAAGCTGGTTCCAATCCATTGGCGTGTGGGCAGGAGGGAGAGCCACCTGTATTTTACGCAATTTGCCATGACAACGTGGACATGCTCAACTTTCTGATCTCCAAATGGAATGGCGACAACCAGGACGGCGGCGGCACGTCCATTGTGGAACAGACAGATCGACTTGACAACACGCCCTTGATGCACGCTGTTCGAAAAAGAGCCGTCCAGTGTGTCAATGCATTGCTGCGAGAACACAAGGTCAATGTCTCGGGAGACAACAACCCCCTTCCATCTCTGGTGGATGACAACCTTAATAGCAATTGCTCTACTACACCAGTCATCAGCAACACTACAACCAGGGAGATCCTATTTGCTCTGGTTCAAGCTGGGGCGCGAATGGAGGAGATGGATTCTGAAGATCGAGCCAAACTGAGGGGATACGCCAACACCTGGGGAAAGTGGGATGAGTTGCTACCCACGGTTTCGGCTGATGATTTTGCAGACGGTTGTTGCGTACAGTTTGGGGATGCCAATCCTGAACGAGTAGAGGATCCGTTTTGGAAAGTCATGGTCCAGTGCGGTGCCAGTGCCTATAGTGCATTTGTCCAGTTTGAATCATCCGCCGCAGAGAGTTGCCGCCCCATTTGGTCGTTTGATCGATTTGGCAAGTCATGCACCTTGTTGCCTGATGGACGATTCGTCGAGATTGCTGGAGAACATGAAGATTACTATGACCCAGACTTCGCTATTTATAACGATGTCGTTGTGCACGACGGAAAGGGCAACTGTGAATTTTACTCCTACCCAGAAGAAGTCTTTCCGTGCACAGACTTTCACACAGCTACCCTTGTACCATCATTGGAAGAACAACTGTCACAAGAAGAGGAGGTTGCTGCTGTTGCTGGTGGATCAATGATCTACATCATTGGATGTGTTGGATACCCGCAAGATCGCAGACCTGGCTTCACACCTGTCTTTGGATTGCATGTCGACACATGGAAGATGGAACGCATAGAGACTTCTGGGGACATGCCTGGATGGATTGCGCGTCACAAGGCAGTATACGACCCGCTTTCTTCCTCGATCTCCATCACGGGCGGTTGGATAATTGTGAACCCGGAAGAAGGAAGGGGCGTGGAGAACAAGGATGAATTCACCCTGAACCTGCAAACGAGGGCATGGACAAGGAAGTCTGCCACACCTTGAACGAAATCTGCGATCGATACAAGTAATGTATTTTATAGCGAACAATCTCTCCGATGTACCTGTATGCATTGTGGAAGTCTGCTACCTGTAGTGGCTTACCGTGTCCTCATACATGGCCGTGGCTACCGGTAGTAGCTAGCCAGGAGGCTTTCTGGGTTTTTGGCAAGCGAGGAAGCATTTGGGACGTCATGGGATTCATACGGGTGCCGTGCCAAAATCCTCGAAGTGGGCTCTCACCAGTCAAGTGCCGAAACCCCAATTGAAAATATGCTTACTAAAACGCGCCAGTTGAGAAAAGAGAGGTAGGTAAAAGCCTGGTATGCACTGGGTCTCCTCTAGGTTCTTTCGAAGCGTGATTTGCTTGCAGCTGACAGAATGGTCCGTTTTGTATCCGCCGTCAGGACAGAACAGCATGAGGCGCCATCACTGGTGACACCGTACCAAGCTCCATTGATTGCCTTCATCGAAGCTTATTGAACGCAAAGCGACAGTGAACCTTGATAGATACGACGATACAGGTACCACTGATCAGATATCAGATGATTGACGGGAGTCCTCCCAGCTAGCGTATGGAAGAGGAATGTCGATCGAAGATGTTTAGAAGGAAATATTAGGCAACACTGATACGAAGCTACCGGTAGCGGTAGGACGAAAATGGAAAGCCAAATGAAATTGAAATTTAGAAATGCATGATTGTATATTCTAGCTAGTGCCATCTCCACACAGTTGGAGGGCCCTTGCATTTGCTTGTTAGTATACAACCATGGAACGAAAATTCCAATGAGTCCTAGCATGCAGATTGTTGATTTAACTCAAGGCATATCCCGAAAGGAAGAGAAGGAAGAAGGCACCAAGCCCTCCGAAGATTGCAAGATTTTTCTACGAAAAAGCAATGTCGAAGAAAAGGTGTCAGGGATGGAATAACGACATTGGCATCAAAGCAGCGAAAACAACCCACTGCCGAAGATAAAATATCTTACCTGTCCTGCAGTCCACGCGTTGGTACCAAATCCATATCCTTGGTTAACTTCGAATCCTGGAATCTCTTCCACCACTTCATCGAAGGAATCCTTGGATGCCCGGCAGACAGGACAACGCCAATTTGCTGGAAGCTCTTCGAACTTTGTTCCTGGATCGATCATTCCTCCAATCATCATTTTATCTCCCTTTTCTTCGTCATATTCCCAGTCGCAGTTGGTGCATTTGTAGATACCAGTGCTCTTTTTCATGAAAACCTCTTGCGCCCGAAGTTCCTCGGCTCGACGTTGTTTTTCCATTTGAAGCTTGGTCTCCGCGTCCATTTCTACCTCTTCCATCGGATCCACTTCAACAGCAGAGCTGTCAGCAGACACTTCTTCCATTGCTGGGGCTGCAGGCTTTTCGGGCTCACTCATCCTCAGAATTATCGATCTGGGAGCATTCATGCTAGTTCTCGTGACAGGAACCGTGAAAGCATTGCAGAAGCTCAAAAGGGAGAAGAAAAGAATCAGCTTGATCATCTTGAAACAACACTAAATGTAACACAACAGCAAAATAATGTGATCAGTGGTCGAGATGATGACTTTGCTTCGGGCTTGGCCACGGTTGCTATGACACAATCATCAACAAAAGATTCGATTCGGGTGAATCAGCACCTTGATGTGGTGTCTCAATTGTTTTTGTTGCTTCCACCCAACACGTCACTGTTTTGTGTCCCGAGATGATGATCAGTCGCGTCCAAATGAGCGTCCGCTTGCCGTGGAAGTGCATTGACGCAGTACCGTTACGATTTGCTTGAAGCCAGTTACTGTTGCACAGTAGGCCTCTACTAGCTACCGTAGCCACCGGATGGCTTGGCTAGCACAAGTACTAGTAGTGGAAATCAACAGTCATATGATTTAACTATTTACGGTACTACCAAAAGAATCCTCTTTCTGACTGTCGTTGCAGTTCCTTCGCCATCCTGGCAAACTCTGCCGAAGAGTCCACCATCTGCGAGGTCTTTTCACCAAGGGATTCAAGCTTTTGGCCCCGGTCCAGCAGAGCGTTTCTCGTCTGATTCAAAGAGTCCGTGAGCCCACCCACATCAGCGCCAACTGCAGCTGGTTTCGATTCAGACTCCTCTCCGAGCAGCATGTTAGTGGCCTTCTCCATCACGTTCCCAAACAACGAATCTCGTTGTGCGTCCTCGTCTGCCCTCGCTTGTCTAGCCTTGGCATGATCTTCCTTCATTTTGTTGATTTGAGTTTCATTTTCCACCCTCTTCTTATGCGCTTCCTCTCGCTGCGCCGTCGCCTGGTCAGAATGGGCCAAAGCAAACTGGCCGTCGCTGACACGAACTTCCTTGCCGTCATGAACAACACGCTTGGAAGAGCAGTCGTCGCATACAAACCGTTCTGTCACGCGGCAACGATGTTTCCGATTCATAATCGACCCAAACTCACTCCAACAAATGGCACAGGACTTTTCGCTGCAACCACCCGCAACGACCTTCTCCGTGTAAGCAGAATCCTGTTCAAACGGAGGAGAGAAATTGGTTGTGGAGGATATCGTTTTAATCTCTTGCCAAGCTTTTTTACAAGCCTGCAATTTTTCGTTGCCTCCCAGCACGGCCACAATCTTCTTGTTCGATTCGACTTTGAGCGTGCTCCGATCGTACGCGTCTATATGAAGTCCATCCGAATCAGCGTGATGGCCGGCAGTCTGTTCCTTCTTCGCTGCGAATAGGCGCAGCGTGGGAGGTGGATCCAGCGAAGGTCGAGCACCGTTGCGCACAAGCGCGTCGCACGTCTCCTCGAGAACCTTCATGATACACGCCAGGAGACCTTCGTTTATCCGACCTCGTAAATTGTCAGCCTCCAAGGCGGCACAACCGAGAATCTGAATTGGAGCAAAGCCAACAAAATCCTCCAGTTCAGGAAGAGAACTGCAGCCAAGCCGATCAATCCGTTCATTGGGCTCAAAACCATATCGTATCAACGTTAGAATTGTTCTGTGGCAGACAAGAGAAATGGGTTGAGGAAAGCATCTTGCATTGTAGAGAAGAAATTCAGCATTGGAAGAAACTTACCGAGCAACGGTATTATTGTGAGGGTCGCTAAAGGGCCCGAGAGGAACGGTTCCATCGTTGTCATAGAAAGATTGGATTTCTTTGATCAGTGATACCAAGGCAGTGTGGAGGGGATACTGCCACAACGCCCCAATCGAAGTACCAACTTGCTCACCCACGACATCTGACGGTAGAGGAAAACGCACCGAGGAGCGACGCAACACCTCGTTCAAATCTTCTGGACGCCACTGGGCAGCAAGGACGTTCTGAGGCCACCGAAGCTCAGAGGCTTTCATATCTGACGGAAACATTTTGCCACCCCAGGCTTCCAATGCCATGATGCATCTACTTAGAGCTGCAGGGTCACTCTCTCCATTCGCGCCTCTCCCAGCAGTCGCCGCCAGGTACATAGGGGTTCGACCCAAACTATCCAAGGCATTGGGGTTTGGGTTTACTGGATACTGAGCTGCAAGCAACAGAGACACACTTTTGTGGTCCAGGTTCTGTGCGACAATGTGTAGCGGTGTCAGGCTCTTGAGCCTTTCCGTAGCATCGCCGATTGAAGAAGGGGGTTCTTCAATCATATCTGCTCTTGCGCCTGCTTTTACAAGTAAAGCAACAGCGAGGCTGAAACGACGGAAGCATGCATAATGGAGTGCCGTGAACCCCGAATCATCAACCGCATCTGCAATGCGACCATGCAGAAAGGCATTGTTGGGGCTTGTTGACACAATGTTGTGCTTCGACCGTCTCATAGCTGTTAAGATAGCTTTTTCAAGAAGTTTCTCACTCCCCAGAACGACATAAGAGTGCAATGTTCCCAATATCAGTTGATGCTTCCAAGATGCATTAGCACTTGTTGAGGCAGTTTCATCGTAGTGTGCCTTGCAGATTGCCTGCTTCAATCGCAGTTCGACAGTTGTCGTCTCCAGGAATGCGCTGCTATCTGTATAGGATACACCGTGCTTTGAAGGAATTGCTGTCAGTGCAATCGTCCCCGTGGGAGTCAAGAGGCTGAAGCAAGAGAGTTTTCTGAAATCGGCATGCAGCTGGTCGGTGTTTTCTTCAACAGAGGTTGGGGTTGTGAGTGGGGACAGCCGCAGCTTGCATGACATGGGCTCCATGGCCGCATCAACAATCAAGAACGACGAGAGAGCATTGCTGTCAGGTTCTGATCCGACTGGAAGGTCCAGTACATCTCGTAGCTCTTCCACATTCTTTGCATAGCGAAGCAGCATTATAAGGCTTGGCTCCGAATAAACAACGAGTTTTCGAGGTTGGTACTCATCCGCCGAAGTTCCCCCACCGAATATGTTCCAGCCCTTCTTCTCGTTCACAACAAGCTTCTCAACATACTGGACGTGTTCAACTTTCCGGACACCGGCATACGACATCCACCTCAAGTTGTCCCATCCACTGAATGCAAAGTCTGACTCTGCTCGTGGAAATACCACCTCGCCGCCAACAATTGTGACCTCTTCATCTCGTAGTGACAATCTGGGTTCGGGGGATTCATTGGCTTCTTGAAGCCCCCCCTCCGCAGCCGGAGAATCGGCCCCATTGCCAGCATCATCAGATTTTGATTCTCCGTCCGCTTTGGCCGCCTCAACAACACTGCTCTCGACTTCCCCTTGCGTCTTGGTTCCCTCCTCCTTGCAAGCTTCACTTGCCGCCTCAGCCTCAGAGTCTTGAGTTTCTCCCGTGTCTGAAGCAGTCTCAGTCGTCTCCTTCGTTTCGGCATTGTTGATATCATCAACATTTCTATCATTTTCATCCTTTACATCAATTTCTATACTTGCTACATTGTCGCTCTCCGCACTTCCACTTGCCACAACATTCACACTTGCATCTCCACTTCCATTGTCCACATTTAACGCTTCGATACTTTCAGGTTGCTGTACTGTGGAAGACCCAAACCAAGTAAGCACAAACAAACTAAAATAGATAACAGTAGGGACGCGGTATCCTTTGATTACTGTGGATTCAACTTACGGATTGAGCCGCCACACTATCGGCGACAGCTTCGTTTCCATTGGCAGGCGAAGGACGAAACATTGGGCTCTCCTCCAGCATCATTTCTCCCATTCTGGAATGGGTTTCCAAGAAAGCCTGTCTTTCTTCTTCCTCTGCCAACCGTCGTTGTTCCCTCACAGCCTGAGGAACTTCGCTAAGTTCCTTGGCTACCAGTAGCACGATCGGTCGAGGGCTAAGCCGGATCAACGCAACAGTGTCGCCCCACATAATGTTGGTAATGGGCCTTCGAATATCCACACCTGCCGCTTCTCGAATGACATCTCCCGCTTGGATATCTCCCTTGCGCGCCACAGGCGAAGAAGGGGTCTCTTTTGTGACAGACAGGACACGAACGATACCATCTGGGCCACGGTTGAGTTTGATTCCCAATGATTCCGAGAAAAAGGAAATTTCACGCTCGGGACCGCATCTCAAGGCACTAGGAGAACGTGGAGATTGTTGGGGCCAATGCTTGGGCATGGACGGCAAATTGGGAGTCGAGTTGATTGCCTGTTCACGGGGAACAAACCGAGGAGGAGGAAGTTTTGGAACCATGGCAGATTTGCTGGGTGATCTCCGCGATATTGGGTTGTGAGCAGATTCTGCCACTGCAGCCGATGCTTTCTGAAGATACGCCTGATCAAATTGGCTGAGGGACTCTCCTTCGGGGAGCATCCTCAAAGTGTTATCAAACGCTTCCACAGCGTCTTCAAACTCTTTCAAGTAGAACATGGATTTGGCCAAGGTAGAATAGGCCTCGGCAGATGGCTTTATTTTGATTGCCAATTGTGCATCGTTGCGCGCGCTGGCGTGTCGACGACTTCCATTCAAGGCATGAGCCCGTCCCAGATGAAGTTGTGGAGATAAGTTGGGATCATCAGGGACGAGAAAGAGGGCAGCCGTGTATTCCTCAATCGCCTGTTTGTATTGTTTGTTGGCCAAAAACTGATTGGCGCGTTTCTGAATGTTCAAGGCTTCATCGAAATCTGGATCTTCGTCGTCTCCGCCAATGTCCAAAGTCAGAGCTCGCCCCCCACCAAACCTCATTTTCTGGTTTCTACCAGCAATCGCATTGGCAATAGCCGGATTGGTGTTTGCTTTCTGAAATTCTCCCGAGACAATGGCGGCACTGGCATTGGGATCGGAAGCAATACTGTTGACTACAGTGTGTTGGACCGAAGACTCGGCAACGGAGACATCTTCCCCTCGAGCATAGCGTTGTGCTTTTTCCTGCTGCTTGGCCAACTTGGCCTTTGCCTTTTCCAAGTAGGTTTGTGTGACCTGATTATCTGGTTCATATTGGATAGCATCTTCGTAAGCTGCCACGGCACCCGCATAATCTTTGAGAAAATACAACGCTTGGCCCAATCGAGCATGGGCTTTTCCAAAGGTAGGAGCAAGAGCCACGGCTCGGCGTGCATCTGTGGCAGCCGCACTGTAGCGCTTCAAAGAGAGCAAAGCTGCAGCACGGTTGGACAAGAAGACATGGGATGACGGGCCCACAGGAGATAACTGTAGAGCCGCGGAGTAGGCATTGTAGGCACGGGTATACTCCTGTCAAAATTGGAAAAAAGATAATGGTCAGGGGTATACATGTACTCGGAACGCTTGCAAAGAATTCGCACAGACGCGAGATAACGAAAAGGAAATATGAATGCATATACCCACCTGAGCTGCCATGTGCTTGTTACCCAAAGCTTTCATACGCTCTGCCTCCTGATGAAGCTCTTCTAGCTGAGCTAAATCCAGCAATGCTTCCTCCCCATCAATGCCTCCACTGCCATTCTGGCTTTTGTTGGTGGGAGGCTTCGGCGGCGAAGAAGTATCATGAATCATGGGGGAAGAAGACGAAGGTGTTGGGCTGGTCTTCGGGACGCGATAATCGTAGTCCGAGTCAACTCCAACTCCGGTGTTGGAGTGAGGCGAAAGTCTCATCGTCTCGACGAAGGATATCTGAGCAGAGTTTCGCTCGAGATTGCTCCCAACCAAATCGAAGCTCTACTAACTAAACTACCAGGAGCTGCCTCCGTGTTGTGTCCACGGCCATGGTGATGATAGCCAACACGAAAGAAACGGCTTGCTCATGCACTGGCCCTCCCTCATTGGTTCACGGTATTTAGGCAGGGGTGAGATCCTGCGTGTCATTTCTCGTAAGTGTGGAACGTAAACCTTCTCCTAATAATCTTCCTCAACGTTTTGAAGACCCACACTTGCTCCACTTCCTCTTCGCTTTTCGATTTGATTTGGTGTCGAATATTCTACATCGTACCGGTACATCGTACATCGTACAGTCGTACTAGTACCCTCCTCTCAGATCGCGCAGCTTGCAAAATGCTACCTGGTACCAGCATGCGAGCTAGCACCGGTACATGCCATAGTCCACTCTAACTGCACCATAGTAAGCATATTGCAGGCGGGTTACTTTCCTGTGAGTTGAATCTGCTGGTGGCTCGAGGCTGCGAGGGTCTCCCATTTTCCCTTTTAGCTAGAAACGCTGTAGCTAGCTAGGTGGCCTGACTGGACAATCTCACGACTGCTCATAGCCGGCTACCGGTAGCTAAATACAAAAAACAGCTTGAGTGCACGGGGCGGTACCGTACTTGAGCGAAGTCCAATCATCGGCAATGGCAACTACTTTGACTATCAGAAACACTTCCAGAATCACGGCGTGCCTTCTCGCACTTGCCAAAATCTGGTCCGAACATAAACAAAATACTAACAGTAGCCAGATAGGAGAAACCAACCGCATCATTCTAAAATCAGCCAGGAAGATAGCTACCAGCCAAAACTGCTTGGTTACAATGATGCTTGTACCAATAGTTTGGAGAATCTATCTGTGAGAACGGGCACTCTCACAAGTTTTGATAGCTACAAGAAGTTCACTCCGACTCTTCACCCGTTCTGCCCCGTAGTAACTTGTATTCTCATGTTCCCCTCCAGCTACGCCTCTCTATGCCCATGGCACGCGGACATGACATACAAGTTGTATCAAATTCCTTTAGGTTACTATCTCATTCTTTCTTTATTCATAAATCATGTATGTAAATGCTGAAACGAGTTGCATGACTTGTAGCATGCCTGTGCAATGCGATTGTAGGTAGGTAGCAATGAAGACGATGTCCTCCCTATCAACAACAGTAGTTTAGATATCCTGTTCCCTGTCGGCGGGGTAAACACGCATGTTGTCCTTTCCAACCATGATGTTAACTGTCTTGGTGACACGGTTGAACACACTCTCTTGAATGTACTGTGAAGAAGAAGATAATAAAATAAACCATGTGAGTCAGTCAGCTTATCTGAATCTATCAAAAGTGAAACCAGCAATGACAAGACAAACTTACAGGAACGCCGTGACGTCTGCAGATTTCCTTGACTTGAGGCATGGCCTTTTGGTAAGAAAGCATGGAAAGATCGGGCCACAAGTGGTGCTCAATCTGGTAGTTCAACCATCCGTGGAAGAAATCGACAAGATCAGTTCCGGCGGCAAAGTTGACCGAGGAGACCACCTGACGCAGGTAGAACGTTCCACTTCGGGGTCTGCATCCAACAGAGAACTTGTACAGATCATCGCCAGCATGGTTGGTGGCAATGATGTAAAAGGAGTGAAGGTTGGCAAAGAGGTCCGCCAACACCATGTTGGCAACTCCGTTGTAGAACCAAGTGTTGGGGGACTCGGGGTTCAGATACATGCCAGCCACCAAGAGAGGGGAAGGCAGCAAAAAGAAACGGTAGATCACGTAGGGGAAGAACACACGAGCCAAGTAGTCACTGAATGAGATCCAGGAGGGCAAGCTGGAGTTGTCAAAGACCATGGAGGTGATGGTCATGGGCTCGTTGGGATTAAATCCCTCACTTTTCTCCAAGAGCTCTGGGTTAACCTTGCGGACCTCCTTAACTCGAAGCTCCTTGTAGGTGTTGGGGGCATAGTACCACCACTTCCAGATAACCATGATCACATAGACAGCCATGTACTTGACAACCATGGGAGCATTGAGGTCTCGCAAATACCCAAGGTTGCGTTCCACAAGATCAGGATCGCCAGCTTCACCCAACTTGTAGTGATGCATATTATTATGTTCCACATTCCATGCCTCGGGAAGCATCCAGTCCATCCAGTCAAGGACTCGACGCCAGAGACTACCAACAGCAAACTTGAAGCGGTTGAATCTTCCTGTTGGCTCGCAGTTGTCGTAGCCTCCATGGCAAGTGTGGTGGGCAATCATTGTCCATCGAGTAGTAGTACCGATGGACAGGCAGATCGCGGGCAAGACAAAGTAAACAGGAAGTCCCATTCCCAACAGACCAGTCAGAGTGAACATGTTGGACCACATGATCATCTTGTGCAAGTGGGCTACATCATCAGGTCCTTGTTCGTCCGACAATCTCTTTCCTAGTTCCTTGATATCCTCTCGGAATGCTTTCAAGTCCAATTTGTCAATCCATTCGTCTTCCTTGCAAAGGACAGTCTTGCTACCCATAGGCTGCTCCACCTTTTGCTGCTCATCATATACTACGTTGCGCTCACGAGGTGCCATGGTTGCAGTTTTCTACAAATAGAATCCAAATTAACAAGCAAAAATGCTACCAATGGAAATAAATTGTGCGTGGCAATTGATTTTCTTTGTCGAGGAAGATGATGAGTTGGTGGCCAAGAACAAGGATGAGGCTCAAGCAAGTAAGTGGACCAGCTATCTGCCCTCGCACCACGAGTACATGTACTGTACAGTGCCACCAGCTCGATCCCTTTACTCTCACACCACCGGACCTGCCTCGTAAGTTTGGAGGGGCCGCCAGCCAGGAGCTTACTACGGCTTTGAATAGAAGACAGTCATTGGAATCAACACGTAATTTACACGGTGTTTAAGGTTAGCTCGCTTCAACACGTAGCTTTGATTGTACCAGAGCGCCGTATCTTGGCGATGACATACTCTGTCCAACCGTTATCATCCCTGGTCGGGCTGCGACGTGGCAAACCACGCACACTTCAGTACGAACTTTTTCAGCATAAATGATGAGGTGCACACTCCGTCCACCAGTTGGCGCTATTACGCCGCTTTGTTGCCATGTTTGGTCATCAACAGCAGTACTACGAATAGAGTTAGGGATGCCAACGGTTGTTTACTCTGGCAGGGAAACTGGAAGCCAAAACCGAACAAACAGTTGGGCAAGCCCGGCAAATACGCAGTGGCTTGCTCCTTGTCCTTTGATTGAACACGAAGCTTCTAACCGCAGCTCTACCCCCACTACACAAGCTACCGGTAGCTAGCGGTAGTGTGGAATGAGAATCTCCGTGAGCTAGCTAGCTTGTGTGGAATGAGAAGAAGCCACGGTCAAGTAGACACCAATGAATACTGGAGTACCGGTGCTGCGATACCAGAGCACCCACCAGAGCTAGCAACTGCAGAGTATGACACCTCTTGAACCAATCAATGAGAATGCAGTATTTAAATGACACACTGGTACCATTGCAGCCAGCAAGCAAAGAAGAACTGGCTGGCATTGTGTCATGACGGCGCACCCTGCCATGCAGCACACCAAGGTGTCAAGGATCTTGACAAGTGTGGCTATCTAGAAGTCTCGTTGAATGTCAAACTAAAAGCTTCTTCACCTGGCCCAATCCTAAATAGTTTGTTAGCTCTGCTGCTCTACATAGTGAAGGTTTGCCACATGATGAAACTCCTCGCTGCACCTTCCACAATTATTCCTCGGTCATGCTTTCAAGGGCAATGCAAACGCACAAAGCCAAACCTTCATCAACTCCTTCATTGATATCAATGAAGTAACAGTCACGGACTGGGGAAATCCAGTTCTTGTGAACACTCACAATTTCCTCACCATCCTCCAGGATGGTAAAGTCATGTTCAAGGATAGATCCGTGGATGACCCAGTTAGTGTCGCCTCGAACCTTGACAACAAAGTTGTCACGGACAAGACCAATGACCTTCTTCTTGATCTCGGCAACCTTGTGGCCATCTGAATCTTCAATGGCCATGGCATCACGGGCTCTCATCTTGCGTTCCTGAATCTGATACAAAGTTTCTCTGTCAGGGGTCTGAAGGTTGAAGGTTTCACGTAGGCGCAACACCTTGTTGTTGGCAATGAAAGCAGCCTCACCCATACCACGGCGGCGATGCATTTGGTTAATGTTGAAGTCATCACCAATGTCAAGAAGCAGCTTCTCACGCATTGCGTATGTCTTGGGGCCATCATCTTCCTCCTCTTCTTCACGGCGTTCTTCTTGGCGGCGTTCTTGGCGTGCTTGCATGCGATCACGGATACCCATTTTGATTGTTTGTTTTGGTAGTTTCGTTGTTTTCTAGTTGGTTTGGTTTGAAGAGTTGATAGTTTTGTGAGCTTTCGAGGAGCGGATATCCTTGCTCCCCGCCCTCGATTGACCCCTGTGAACCAGCACCAAACAACCTGTTCAATCGTTCGCTGCCGGACAATGAGGTGAAACGGGAACGCCTTGCGGGCGGGATTACAAATTTACCAAGATTTTCTGAACCCATCTTGCTACATGCACCTCTAGCTAGCTAGCATCATATCCCATCCAGAAACTCTCAAAGCACCAGTACCGGTACCTTTTGGTTGTCTGCAAAAAGGTGTTGGAACGGCAAAATTGTCTTGCATCCGAAAGCCCCGGTTGGATGCTCAATGGATGCTCCGGGGATGGGGCGCTACCAGTACCGTACCGGTAGCCAGTTAGATGTGGGATGAAGCCAACTATCAGAGTCGGATGGGAAGCCACTTGAACAGCGCTACGAACGATGTAGCAGGCATGTTGGAAAATTGTTGGAAGTAAAGTCTTGGAGCAAGATTTTGTCCTTCACCGGGTGCCGCTGTACTAGTACCTGGTACCAGTACCAGTACCGGTAGTTAGAGAAAGGGGTGATTGATTGGGCCGCAGCGGTCGGTTTTCGCAGCTTGGCTGGATGAAAATGCCCGAAATCGAGTTTTTTGCAACGGTTCTGAATAAACATAAAATTTATACTTTTGTTAGTCCTTTTGCTTTTTTAACAGTAGGAAAATCGGTTTTCTTTTACTCCTCGGTTTACGGCCCTTTGCATGCACTCTGCAACGTCAGAGATTGACGCAGCTGCCTTCTTGCTGTCTTCATTATTCTTCGCAGAAAACGAGATCTAAATTCTGATTCTGTTTATTCGACGCATATCGTGGCATTGCCTGAGATATTAGGTAGGATCCAGATATCGAGGTGCTTTATCCTCTTACCAAGATGACAATGGCGTCGTACAAGACGAAGATGGCTTCCTCAGTTTTGCTGTTGGTGCTGCTATTTGGGGTCTCGGTGGAGGCGTTTTCTCCCATTGGTGGCCGCTCTCTTAGTACCCGCACTGCATCCAAGAACCTGATTCCATGCTCTTCTACCAAGCGTGACGATGAGTTCCCCACGGATGACTCTGATTTGTCGGTGGATTGGGATGCTGAGTGGAAGAAGGTTATGGAAAAGGAAAAGGCCGGAGAGCCGATTGAGAGACCAGGAAAAGATTTCTATAAGTCAGAGGCGGAAATTACTGCCATTCGTGCCGCGAACAAGGCATCCACTGAAGTACAAAAGATTTCCAGCAAAGTGCCATCTCCCCCAAGTATGAGTTCCTTGACTGGAGATTGGAGGGTAAGTGAGACTGCGGTTCCCTGATTGTGTGCTTTAGCTTCCTGTTTTCTCAAAGTAGTTATGGATTGTATGCAGTTTTGGATTGGAATTCTGGCACTCATCAGTATCGGATCCGCCGTTCTTTCGGCTCAAGGACCAAGTTATACCCCAATCGCTGGTGGCGACTCGTACTACATATAGACACAGTACCATGTCGATCCAAAAGGCCCCTTTCAAAATACCCAACAATTGACGAACCAGCTCAAAAGCAACTGAGAGCTCTATACCTGATCCTTCGAAAGGAATCTCAGCGAGGAGTAAGGCATCAACCTTTCTACCCGAACGTACAAGGAGTATCAAGCCAAAGAACAATAAACATAGCATTGAGTTCATAGCCTGATCCGTGAGTGCATGAAGGCATTCAGCATTATTTGCCCTTCTTAATATCGTAGAGGTGAACGGGAATTCCCAGGAACGAGGATTCAGCTCCACCTCCTCCAACTGCAACGCATGAATCGAGCGCATCCACAGCATAAATTGGATTGCTTGCGTTGGATACTAGCGTTGCTATGGGAGCTTGAATGTTCGCACTAGAAAAAGAATCCCACAGGCACAATCGTCCATCCACTCCCCAAGTCAGCAGAAGATTCTCTCCAGCAGAAATAAACTTGGAACCAAAGACTGGCCTGCCGACTTCGTGCCCTGTATCAGGATAGAGTCAAGAAAGCACGTTGAGAAGCTACCCACACATCCCCCAGCAGATAGGAAATCATGAAACCCTTACCTCCTTCCAGGATTGCCGCACAGGTGGTCGTCAGAGATCCCTTGCCCTCGTGAACGTCGATTCCCCACAATATCACGTGGCCCGTGGCAACACAGGTTGCCAGCCGAGTACCTGTGGAATCCCAGGAGAAAGATGTCAAGTGACTTTGACAGCCGGGCAGCGACACAATCGAAATGCAAACTCCCCGTCCATTGATAAGTCGCAAGCTTCCATCCGACAGGGCGACCCCCAGAAGACCATTGGCGGCACAGTAGTTGGCATCAAATGCAAAGATCATGTTGTTGGGATTGCGATCTCCACCAAAGGGTTTTTGAATTGGTCGGTCTGGCGTTGCGTCTTTTCCCGCTTGAGGTTTGCTCTCCATCATCTTGAGCCCTGCATCTGTCACCTGACATATCGACACACCATATCCCTGGTTGTGGAAGGACGTAAAGTGCAGGCTCATTACTTCTCTGAATATGAGATTCTCGCCGCCTTGTCCATCAATACCGCCTAGTTCCCACAAGTGAATGAAATCATCTGATGATGTCATGAGGAAGCTATTCTGCGTTGCGTTTTCTCGCGCCATGGGAAGTCCACTCCAGTGATCAATCCATTGCAGTGCGTATATTTGTGGCATTTCCTTTTCATCGTCGGGATTGACGGGTACTCTGTCAAAAGCCGAATGATCCAGTGTAGCACAACAAGAGAATGAATTCTTTTGGCTGGGATCCTTGCTACACCAGATCATGACCTTCCCATCGGCGCCGGCTGTTGCTAACAGGGACGAATGTATGCTGTCCCTTCCTCGATCCAGCGTCCCTTTGGCCCATGCAGAAGAAGCCCTGGGTGTTTGGTTGTACAATCAAGAGGAAACCCGTTAGCGTCAACCTACTAGTATTCTCTGACCACAGCATTCCAATTTTTCCATTCCACTTCCAAAAATACACACTTACCATGCCACTCTCAGACACTCATAGTCTTTGCTGTGTTCTTGCAATGTCGACAGTGGAGCATTCGTGGCAACATCCCAGACTCTAATGGTGGAATCTTGGCTGGCCGTAGCCAAGTAGTTGCCACATTCGGAAAAGTCGAGCCCAAAACACGTTTCCGTGTGCCCCAAGCAGTTTCTTTCATTCTCCAGCCCGGACGCATTGGTTACGAAATTGGCCAATATGGGAGCTGCAGCATCGAGCGCCTCTGGCCGTTGGCTCACATGGATTGTTGTTGTTTCTTCCGTGTTGTTGGCAGTCGAGTGAGCATCGTGGCTCATGGCTGCCTTTGATGTTTCCGAGGCAGCCTTTTCAATGAGGGATTCCATGTCTCTTCCTGCAAAGTATGAGTCACTCAAAATGGACAATTGTAGCAGTGCGTCAAACTCTTTTTGCGGTAGCTCCGGGCGTCCTTCTTGTTCAAACTGTTTCAAGTCAGCACTGGGACCAAAAAGTGTTTCGTTTTCTGCAATGGAAGGTAACGAGAATCCACTCGTGATGTTGTTGTTTTCAGCTCCAATGTCGGTTCCAGCTGGTGTACAAGGTTGGCAATAAAGATAGGGTGGAATGTCGTTGTATTCGTCGTCAATATCGTTGTTTTCGTCGCTCTGCCAATCCAAATTTAGTTTTTGCAATCCTTCTAACAGTCCCAGATCGTCGAGATCCAATTTCTTTTCATCCACTCCCGTGGCCTCCGTGGTGTTGGTTTCGTTGAGCTCGATTGGTTTTGTCTCGGAGGAATCGTCGTCGTCCTCTTCCTCTTCCAGGCTTTGATGATCTCCACTCTCTGCCTCTTTACTGGGAGCGTCAAAAATGGAAGCGGTAAATTCAGCCGGTTCCAAGAGATGTGCCGAGTCCTCTGTATCCAAGAATTCAAGTTCAGGAAGGACGTCGCCCTCAAAGTCCACTAGATCCTCGTCGTTGACGACTTCGCCACCCGGTTCGTCAACTATATCCTCAAAGGACCTCAATACGTTAATCAATTCTTCTTCTGTAAAATCCTCCACTCTCTCGCCTTCCGCCCAAGGATTGACGGGTTCGAGATCTTCCTCGATATCTTCTAGGTCGTCCTCTGTGGGATAGTCGTCTTCCCCAATAAAATCGTCAAAGGCTTTGGCGTCTCCAAAGCTGTCCACTGGAGCCACTTGGGCCAATTCCTCTAAATCTTCCAGCTTGAGTTGAGCCAGGGCCTCCTCCAATTCGTCTGGATCTGTAATGCCACCGAGATCTATCGTACCAACCAGTCCACTTCCTTCTTGGTTCTTCTCTTCTCCCATTTTGGTTCCACCAATGATGATGTGATGGCAACTGGGAAAAGAAGACGAGGTTTTTGATGAGAGAGAGAGTGCGGTGCCGAGTGCCGAAAGAGCGGCATCGACAGTGGTCAGTCGTCCTTTTCGAAACAATGATCGAAGAAAAAGCCCTAACCCTACTGGATCAAAGAATGAGGGCCAGAAGACCAACGACCAACAACGTCGTTCAACCCTCATGCAGCCAAGCCGAACACGATGGCGGCAGTATCCTCATCAATGAACGACGATAATGGCAACCCCCAACCAGATATCTCTGTGGTGCAAAAGTATGAAGACTATTGTGTTTTACTTGTGACCCGAGGATTTGGAGGTAAGTCGCTTCTCTTCTATAGCTTATGACCTTCAAGATCCGCTTCTTCAGATGCGTCAAAGCATATTTTCTTTTGGCTTGCTTCCCTCAACATTTGATACCATTATTGTCACTCCCCTCATCGCTTTGTTCATTAACTGTCAACTAAAGGGCCCCAAGAAATCCAGAAATGGCTACGGGGACAAGAAGAATCCGCCTGTTTTCGCAATGCCACTGATACCGTTGCCGCCATCGAGAAACCATGTCCTGCAACCACGGTTGCAAATGGCGGGCAGAACACAGCAGCATCCCAGGAATCCAACAACAATCACACTATGATCAGAAATGCCGTCTTGCTAAATTATCACTGCAAGGCATATGCTCGGGGTCTAGTGCTGGCAGCTAGAAACAAGTCGGCTGCTCAATTAGTTTCCCATGTTCAGCTGACCGTCCAATGCTTGTGCAAGGGATACCTCAAGCCACAGGAAGAGCAGCAACTGGAACACACCTTGGGCAAGACTGATTGTCAACTACGAATAAAGGGGTTGCAGGCAGCACGCAGCAACACACTGGGGTACATTTCGCTGGTGCAAGCTACCAATCTGCCATCTTCCAGGTCGCCCGATTGCACCTTTGTCATTCCTCGACAGTTTCGACGACAGCTCAAAGCCTCTGGGTTTCCCGTGTTGGGTCATACCAAAGACTGCCAACAATTTCGAGGCGAGTCCTTGTGCATGTCGGTAATCAAGCTGCAATTCCAGGTGGCCACTACTGATGGAGCTGGTGCTGTGGTGGAAGAAGTTGTGTGCATTGAACGAGCACCTCGGCTGAAGATTCTTCTCGAACGGGAAGAACGATTCTGGAAGGAATCCAACACAGAGGCGGATGTGCAAGCAATGGATGATGCCACCATCTCGAAGCCAACAGCGTACATTGCAGGCAAGGCTTCCTTTTTGGGACACCAGTTCTTTGTGAATTCTGCCGTCATGATCCCTCGTCCGGGCAGCGAGGCAGTGGTGCAACGAGCCTTGGAACTGTACCAAGAAACGACAGAGTTGCGCAATGAATCCTCTCCACCACGAATACTGGATCTTGGAACGGGGTCGGGGTGCCTCTTGTTGTCCCTTCTTCGTAGGCTGCCGATGCATGCGGTCGGGGTTGGTGTGGACAAGTCTACGGAGGCCCTGAAAGTGTCCCGGCAGAATGCCATGGCCCTGGGATTGGCACCACAGTGTACTCTCCAGGAAGGAGACTTTGGTCAACTTGACATGCTCGCTCTTGAAAGTAGTCCCTTTGACATTGTCGTATGCAATCCACCCTACCATACTAGAGGCGGGCGTCAACAAATCAATGCTGCCAGTGTGGCGCACGAACCTTCCATGGCGTTGTTTGTGGAGCATGCCAACATGTTGGTCCACTATCGAGATGTATTGCAAGGCCTGAAGCGCGGCAAACTTGTTCACAGAGGGACTGTACTTGTTTTTGAAGTTTGCAAGGACAACGCCAAGCATGTTGGAGCATTGATGCAAGAGAATGGCCTCGAGCTGATTCGTATTGGCAAGGACGCGAAAGACTGTGTCAGAACGGCGGAGGGTGTCTTTCGGGGGTTTGCTACCAGCTAGCTGATAGGGAAAGACTGCGCATGTTCGGGCCTTAACCTAGCTTGCCTATAGCCACTGTCAGACTGCAGCAATCTAATCCTTCCTCGGCGCAGTTGTGCTTACCACTTCCGTAACAGAAGAGTCCTTCATCTTGTCCCATCTCTCGACAGCGACCATGACATCTCAATGATTGCCTCTACTGTAGCCGGTGTAGCGACTGTAGCGACTGTAGCGACTGTAGGATAAGTGGTGGGGCATGGCAGCTTGCAGGTCAAACTATCCGATTGCAGCAGCTTGAAGATGAAAAGGTGACCAAATTAGGCCAGGATGTTGGGGGCTGCGGCGACGAAGGGCACGCTTGTTGCAGCCATTGCAAGCAATTGATAGCTCCATTGTACAATATATGCTTTCGATGCCAAGCTGTTCGAGCATGACGTTTCTACTTTAGCTAGCTAACTAAGTCTCCAAATTAGTTGCCACCATGTTCTCTAATGCCCCCCACCAGTCCCAGAATGCCTCTGATGAGCGGCAGCGGAGAGCAACTGCGAGCAATGCTCGTGCCTATCTGCAAGGGACCAGTGCCCCCCCACAATATTGGTCCTGGGCTGTTTGCGCTGCCTCTATGAATGCGGAACAGGCCAATTACTACATCAAGACAACTCTAGGCACATCGACTGCCACGGTTCCTACGGCCAATGCCAGTCCTAGTCCTACTGCCATGGTATATGAGCACGAGGAGGGTGCCATGAAAAAGGCAGCAAGGCAACACTTATATAGTGTGCCGCTTAGTGGTGCATCGACATATAACGAACAGTAAGTGCTGACAAGAAGACGTGTCATTTCGTGTTGTGTTTGTTTGCTGTCATACAATCTAACCAAATTGTGGTTTGTTTTTGTGCAGCTTTAATGAAATAGAAATGGCGTGGCTAACAAAACTAAATGCTGACGACTTTATATCGCTTGAAAAGGAGGGGAAGTGGAAGCGTTGGGAGGACTGTGCTGCATGGCTGACGTCCCATTCAGTAACCACCGACCGCTATCTTGTTCCCAATTTGGAAGCGATTGGAGGGCTGGAAGAGTTCCGGTTCAAAAAGATAACAGCTGAGGAGTTGGAGTGTTTGAAGTGCTGGGAAGACCCTTTCTGCCACGGTGATCATACCTACCGGTATGTGCTTGGGGTGGAGCCTCGTGATTTAACTGATGAACTATGTTTTGGCATATTGTTGGCTATGAGTGGTTTTGATCCCCTTTTGACGAACACCACCATGACATATTCTGGTGCTTCCATGATGGCTGAGTGCATCAGACGTGGCTTCAAACGAACCCCGATTGGTCACTATGGAATGAACGGATATAACAATGAAAGAATGAAAGTTGAATATGTACCAACTCCAATGGAGGCTGTGGCGGACAAAGCCAAACTGCAGATGCATCGAGCTGCATTTGCTGGTCATGGCTTGAAGCCGCAGCTGGTCCGCATCTCCCACAATCTTACAACTGCTGCTTTGCAATTCACCGAGAAAAGGAACCCCTTGGCAATGGAGCTGACAAATCATCTTCCTGAATTGAAAATTGCAACTGGCCCACTTGCCTCTTCTCAATCTTTTACTGGCATACCCCCCCCCCCAAATATATGTCTCTTAAAATCTGTGTTCCAGTGCTCCCTACTAGTTCCATGCCATACACTCTGATTTCAACTTACTTTCTTCCCTTCACAAAATCTTTACTATATATGCACTCCCTATTTCTGTTTCTGTGGGTGTCGCCACCGGAGGCCTCTTGTGTAGCCAGGGTTCCCACCAAAGAGAAGGGGAAGTGGAAGTGTTGGGGGTTGGAAACGCACCATGCATCCGCACCATCTCAATTTCTAAGTCAGCGGGAGCTGCGATACCTCGGCAGAAAGACAGATAGAAGAAGGAGGATCATGTTCAAGATTGCACCCATCTTTCAAGCCAGTGCATCAGCCCTGGCGACAACACCCGACTACGTCGTGTGTTGCCGCCCAGTATCATTCATTCCCTCATTGCAACCTTCTTTATTAAGCTAGCCCTGGCGACAACACCCGACTACGTCGACTACGTCGTGTGTTGCCGCCCGCTACTCTATAATTTACCAGCTG